TCCCTCTGCCCCACTAGGCATCATGCCTTCTAGCACAGGTCTAGGTGTCAAAGCTGCACCCCCACCACCACTTCAGGCAGATTTCAGAGCTCCAGCCTCTTTGATTACAGTCATTCCAGCCTTGCAAGAGGCTCAAGTTTAAGCAGGGTGGGCCAATGGAGAGTAAATGGGGGCAGCTGTGGCAATACAGAGACTTGCTCCTCTGAGTGCAGCGTCAGGCTGGGTGCACCTGCACAACCTATTTAAATTCCATTACCCTCCCGCCCTGTGTGCCTCCTTGGCCTCATCATATTCCAGACCCTGGTTTTCCAATAATGTAAAGCATGCATGGTGTGTGTGTGTGTGTACCTGGAATACAGGGGCTCTAATACCCATGCTGTTCCTTACCTGACAGATAAACACAGGAAGTTGGTACCCATATCCAGGGCTGACTGTACCCCAGCTTCTCAAACTGCAAGGAAACATGTTGTTTAGGGACTGGCTGATGAGGAAAGATCAACTGCTTCCCCCACCAGCCCAGAGAGCCCCCCAAGTTCACACTACTTTTTTTTTGAGACAGGGTCTCTCTATATAGACTAGGATAGCCTCAAATCACAGAAACCTGCTTGCCTCTACCTCCTGGGTGTTGGGATTAAAGGTGTTCACACTCTGCCTAGCATGATGGTGATTTTATGCATCAGTCTTGAAATGAGATCCACTCCTTGATCTGGATAACTCAAGTAGCTGAAAACATAGGACAAATCTTTTTCGCGCGCGCGCGCGCGCGTGTATGTGTGTGTGTGTGTGTGTGTGTGTGTGTGTGTGTGTGTGTGTGTGTGCTCGTGTTCGGGGTGCACATGTAATGATGCCATATGGAGGTCAGAGGACAATTTGTTTCAGTCAGTTCTCGACTTCCACTATGTGGTCCTGGGGATTGAACTCAGGTTGTCAGACTTGGCAATGGGACTCTACCTGCTAAGTCATCTCTTGCCAGCCTCTAGGGCAGGTTTTTAAACTTAGAATCTTTCACATCATTTACTATATCCGCCCACACCTGAACATGTTCCCAGGCCCTTAAGTAGAATCTGTTTTTTTTTCTCCTTCCAGAATTGAATGCACTATTAAAGAAAAATAGATAAAACCCAGCAAGTGGGTGGAAGGCAGAGGGAGACTCAGAAGAAACAGGCTGGCAGGGGATGACTGAATGGAGCTGTCCACCTGCAGAAAACCTCTTCTGGTCAAAGCCAAACCATCAAAGGCTGGCAGGCTGGAAAGAATGGGGGCATGTCCTCACCCCCACCCACTGGGAAACAGGAATCCTGCAGTCTCTGGAAAGCAGTCTGGCAGTTCTTCAATGAAAAGTTAAATCTGGAGTAACCATTTAGCCCAGAAACTCCAAGCAAATACACAGTAACGTAATCCCAGTGCGGGGGAGGCAGTGTGGGGTCACTGGCCAGCCAGCCTAGTCTACTTGGTGGATAGTGAGAGACCCTGTCCCAAAAGACAAGTAAGTAAACAGTGCCTGAGGAACACAGTTGTCCTCTGACCTCCACAGAGGTGTACTCACATACATGTGCACTTGTATACACAGGTGCGCTCATACACACTCACTGTTGATGGCGTTTCTCTTTCCAGCCAGGTCCCGCCATCCTTCTCAGTCCCAAAGAAACACATAGACACTATATGAATTATAAAACTGTTGGCCAATGGCTAGGGCTTCTTATTGGCTAGCCCTGTCTTAATTACTAACCCATTTCTATTAATCTAAGTATTTCCATGTGGTCTTATCTTACAGGAGAAGGGTCTGGACCTGCTATGCCTTCCTCCACTACATGGTATCTCTATCTGCCTACCTTTCCCAGAATTCTCCTCATCTCCTAGTCCCGCCTATCTTCCTGCCTCTATTGGCCAAACAGTGTTTTATTCATCAACCAATAAGAGAAACATACAGAAGGCTATCCCCTTCAATACATTAAAGAAAAAGAAAGGCATGAAGTCTTGATCTGATGTCACAACACAGATCAAACTTCAAAACTAAGGGAGAAGAAGCTAGATACAGAAGGTCACTTATTCTATGAGTCCATTCATATAAAATAGTCAAGAGAGGTAAATGTAGAGAGAGGAAGACCCATAATTGCCTGGAGTGGGGTGGGCTGAGGGTAGAGGTGGGGAGAGGTACAGGCTTGTTTTGCTTATCTGAAGATGAAGACCTACTTTAAGGTTAATTGTGATGATGATTGTATAACTAAATATAATTTTAAAAGGAAAACCATATTGAATAGTATCCGTTCCATAGGTGAACTGCATAGCTTGTAAGCTACATCTCAATAAAAGTGTTCTTTAATTTAAAAAAACAAAAACAAAAACAAAAAAACCTTTACGTGCATGGGTGTTTTGCTTGTATGTATGACTGGTGCTCATGGAGGCCAGAAGAGGGCATCAGATCCTCTGGAACTGGTGTTACAGATTGTGAACTGCCATGTGGGTGCTGGAACTTAAATTCAGGTCTTCTGGAAGAGCAGCCAGTACTCATAGATCCTGCAAGTGCTCTTCAATGGAACAAAACAGAGCTGCCACTGGCACATTAGTACAAGACTTTAGCCCAGCTTCTGTGCTCACTTTCCACACAGGCCTGGTCCTAAGGAAACTGTGGGCTGCTGAGAGAGGACAGGGTTCTCAGAGACTGAGCTCTTCCCTCTGGGCTCTGGTGACCTTCTACAGCTGAAGGCTTACAATCAAACTCTGGCTTTCAGTGGCAGACCACTTGCTTCTTCCCTCTGGGCTCTGGTGACCTTCTACATACCAGCTGAAGGCTTACAATCAAACTCTGGCTTTCAGTGGCAGACCACTTGCTTTAGCATGGACCCTGGGGTCCAAGAAGACTCACATGGCCAGAATCAGTGTAAATCAGGAAGCAAATCGGAAGAGGTCTGTGACAAAATCAGGGAGCACATGGTATATCATAAAGGGGCAGCCACGGCCCAGTTCCAACTATGCACAGTGCCATTCAGGCATGCCACTGCCAGGGCTTCCTAATGTAAATTCTTGGGCTTTGGAGGTAGGAAAGGATATAAGGACAGAGGATGGGATTTTAGAGTCTCACTCTGGGTTAGGGGACCAGAACACCTACCAGTGGGGCCATCCACTCAAAGAGGTTGACGCTCTCCCCATCATTGATGTAGTACGCCTGCCCACTCTGAGGGTGACAGGAGAGACCAGATACTGTCAGATGTCTGCCCACAGCCCGACTCCACACTTTCTCATGGCTCCCAGCTGCTGCTGCAGCCCACTTGTCTTCTTGAGCAGTTCTGGGGACAGACCTGGGCAACACCTTAGTAAAGGCTATAACTGGCTTGGCGGAAATGATGATATTCTAGAGAGATGCTTACACTGTGAGTCAGATGTCTATCAATCTGACCATCTGACTATTGAAACAATGGGCCCCCAAAGAAATGGGGATTTCTTCAGGAATTTCATGCTGGAAAAAACAGCCAGAGGGGAGCTTATCTCCCTTTCATTCCATTGCAACAGCTCACAGGATGAGAGCCAAGCCCACTTAGTGATGAATCAATGGTGGACAGGCCCATACCTTGTCCAAGAAGTGCATTATTTCTGGGACTCTATTAAACTTTAATCTCACTTCAGGGTTCCAAAATAGCCTGGGTCCTTTTATCCCTCTTTTACTTTTTATTAATAATTTGACTTTTGTTTTGTTTTTGTTTTTTGAGGCAGGGTTTCTCTACATGGCCTGCTCCTAGAACTCACCCTGTAGTCCAGTCTGGCTTCAAACTCACAGAGATCCACCTGCCTCTTCCTCCGGAATACTGGGATTAAAGGCGTGTGCCACCAGCGCTTGACCTAATTTGACTCCTTTAATTGGCTTCTAAAGGAGTGATTGAACTTGGTTTCTTGGGATACAGATTCTGTCCCCAAGATTGATAACAGGGCAACCACACTGACAAGCTGTGTGACTCTGATGGACTCATTCAACCGCATTGTACTTCAGTTTTCTTTAGCAAGATGAGGATTATTGTGGAAACTGTGACACAATTCAGTTTGAAGCTGTGATGTCACAGGGTCACAGGGAAGAGCTAATTATGTATGCTCTCTGAAGCGTCTACACAACCCAGTGACCCTGGGACTCCTGAACCATGATTCTCCTTGGGGTGGGGGTGGGGGGCAGGGATGTCACAGAACACTTACAGCCACATAGCCCTTAGCCATGGTGAGGGCCTCAGCCGCCAGCATGTGCGCTTGCACTAGATTCTGCACATGGACCCAGTTCATGCGTGTCCTGCGATCCCCAAACCGGAACATGAACAGTCTCTTCTTGATATGGCTCTGGTGTGAGAGACGGCAACACAGGCTCAGCTGGGTGGTTTACACTCTATCTATATGCTCAGGGCTTCTGAGGGTCCAGTAACAGGCTAGACTCCAATTCCCATGTCCCGGGTCCTCTGGACATCTCTGCTTGCTTGTCTCACAGATGATCTGGGCCACCTTTGACAGTCCTCACTTCTCTCATGCCTCACATTCAAACCACCTGTAAACTCAGCTGCCCCAGCTATTACATCTGTTCAGAATTCAACCACTTTTCTTCCCTACTGCCACCCGCCTCTTTTGCCTTGGGAACCACAACAGCTTCTTGACCGTCCATCTGCTCTGCACATGGGCTGTGATGATGAACACAGAAATGCTGATAATGCCCCTTCCAGACCTGTCCCAGCTACTCTATAGCTTCCCCTGCTACAGACACGCCCCCTTCACCTGCTTGTGTTGCCTTGTCTGCCAACTCCTGGACAATCTTAGGAGAGTCGCCCCCCTGTCTGGAGGCTCTTACCCTCTGCTACAGACACGCCCCCCTCACCTGCTTGTGTTGCCTGGTCTGGGTGCTCCTGGACAATCTTAGGAGAGTCGCCCCCCTGTCTGGAGGCTCTTACCCCAAAAGCTTGCTTGACACACTTGGCTTCTTCCTCCCTTGGAGGCTGAAAACCCAGCTTCCTCCAGAAGGCACTTTCCCCAGCTTCCCTGGGAGCCCAATTCCTTCACCCCACCCACCTTTTCTTTTTGCCCTTTGTGCCTGATACCTTCCAACATGTGAATCTATTTTAATCTATTTCCTGGTGTGAGAACAGAGGCCATACAAGAGCTGGGACTGTCTGTTTTGTTTGCTGTTCTGAACAGTCCTGAGCACACAGTAGTAGTTCCATTAAGTATTTAAATGGGGGAAGGTCACTGTATTTGACAGGGCATCATTTAAGAACTCAAGAAAGGAATATTTGAAGCAGCAGGCCAGAAAAGAACAGCACTCCCCACATGACCTTCAGTGACTCCCCATGGCCTTGTGTTCTTCATTAGACCCAGCTGTGGGGACCTCTCACTGACACTACATTAACATGTCCCTCCTCCCATCTAGTTGATCGAGTTGCTCCTTACTTGCTTTCTCTAATCACCACAGCTCATCAGAAAATCCCCTTTCCTCCTTCCAAACACCACAGGCATCCCTTCCTTCAGGAAGTCCTCCTGGGTCTCCCCTGCCAGGCCCATTTTCTCTTGCATCTCTCTACCCAGACTTAACTATGCTGAAGTTACAGCTGTGTGATCTATCTTCCTCTCCAGGCTGTGAGGAGATTGGGGCCTAGAGCCCCTTGTAGCCATATTCTCAGCGCCCGGATTTTTCTAGTTTTCAGGTACGAAGAAACTTCACTGACAGCCTGAGATAAACTGTTCAGCCCTTGGGGCAGCCACATGCAGGTCTCTCTAGGGTCATAGCTCTCTTTCTCCCCGGCTTGAACAGAGGCTTGGCTGGCACACTGAGAGCTTTGACCCTGGTAGGTCTGAGGGACAATGAACTGGTGGGCATCAGGGTGACCTCCCAGCATAGAGAGTCTCTGGCCAGGGACACTGCCCCTAGACAGATGCAGTGACATAAAGCTGTGAAGGTCCAACCAACACTCACACCACATTAACCTGACTCCTTCTGCCTCTGGAGCTAGGAAAGCTGGGAAGACATACCACCACCCGGGGCAGGTGTCTTTGTTCTTCAGGGCCATAGATCCCTGGGGGACGGAGCACACAGGTGCGGAGGGTGCCTCCTCCTAGGACACAAGAAAGGGTGGCACATGGAGCTCAGGAGCCCACAGTACATGAGGATGGGGAGCCCAAAGCCATCTATACCTCCTGCTCCTTATCTAGCATGGAAGGCCCAGTATAGATATCCTGTGTCTCAATATTTTTGGGGACCCCACCTCCTGCAGCAATCCTTAGATGTTCTCACCTGGAAGTGACTCTCAGCATCATTGGAATTAGGACCACAAACCCTGTGGGCACTGGCTGTAAACTCTGCCAGCCAGGGCCCTTGAGCTATCTATCCATGACCTGCGCTTTCTCAGCCAGGTTGCTGTTTTTTCTGCACATCTATTTTCCAGGCACCTTCATTGTGTGTTCCCTTTCTCCACTAGTAAGCCAGGGCCCAGTGGCTTCCATCTTTACCAAACACCCCTCCCTTTACAATGAAGCCCAGACTCATGGATGATAGAGTAGTCCCTCAAAGATATGCCTACATGCTAGAACCTGCCAATGTGACTGGAAAAGGCTTCAAGCTTGTAATTAAGGCTATTGGTGAGTTGAGATCATCGTAGATTTTTAGCTGGGTCTTAGAGAGACCAACAGAGGATAAGGAGACCACATCAAGGTAGAAGCAAGGAATGGAGTTTTGTAGATAGAACCCAAGGATCACCTGGGGCCACCTGAAGCTGGAGGAGACAGGGAATCCAATTACAAGTGTCTTAGAGAGACCAACAGAGGATAAAGAGACCACATCAAGGTAGAAGCAAGGAATGGAGTTTTGTCGATAGAACCCAAGGATCACCTGGGGCCACCTGAAGCTGGAGGAGACAGGGGGCCCCTCCTCCAGAGCTTTCAGAGAGAGTTCTCCCTGCTAACATCAGCTAACACCAGGATTCCAGGTTCTAGCTTTTAGATGGCAACGGGAGTTGCAGGGCACTACACAAGCAGGTGCAAGAGGATACAGCACCTGACAAGGCTTTGTGACCTCCTTATTAGGACTCTGGCACCCAGCTCAAGTGAGGGCCATCTCAGGACTAGCCTGGACCTCAGGCCGCTGTAATCACCCCTGGTGACCATGGTCAGCCTCCTGGAAGGCAGGTGTCAGCTGAGCTTTTCTGTGGCCTACAGCTAAGTTTAAACTCTGGGTCCCTGGGGCATGGTGGAGGGAGGTCAGGTTGCAGTCAATAGTGGCCAGTGGGACACTGGGTAGCTGTGTCAGTGAGGGCAGGCCTAGGGTATCCATGACTCTCTGCAGCATTGAAAGCTGGGGATGTGCATATAAATAATTCCCAGCCAGAGGATTAGGTGTCTGGCCTGGTGGTAGGTGAAAGGGCTGTGCCCTGGCAGAGAAGGGAATTCACCTGCACCAGATCAAATCCTGGAGATCACGGAGGATGTACACACCAGGATCAGGGGTCAAGGATTGACAGACTAAGTAACAGAAGCAGGGATATTGGAGGGAAAAGAGCCCACATGCAGGGACCTTGTTCTCTGCCTCTACAGTAGCACAGTAGGTAAGACCCGGATTCTGGGGCTAAGACTCCCCTGGGCTTCAAAGTCCAACTCTATTGCTCAATGCTGTGTGACATTGAGCAAAACCAGCTAACTGGTCTCTGTTTCCTCTACTGTAAACTAGAGGCTATAATTTCAAGCCTCTCTTGTTCTCCAAATCTGATTGATTCCCACGTTTGTTTGTCTTTTTCAATGCTATTAGAGACATTGGACACGGGGCTTCATGCTAAGCAAGCTCTCTACCTCTCAACTATATCCATTTGTTTTTTGCTTTTTGTTTTTTTGAGGCAGGTTCTTGCTATATAGCCCAGGCTGACCTTGAACTCACTCTGTAGCCCAGGCAAGCCTTGAACTTGTGATTTTCCTGCCTCAACCTCCTGAGTAGTTAGTATGTAAGGACTTTGCTACCAGACCCGGGCAGATAAACTTCTTCTCTCCCTCTCCTCTTCCTTCTTTCCTTCTTTCTTTCCTTCCTTCCTTCCTTCCTTCCTTCCTTAGGCAGATAAACTTCTTCTCTCCCTCTCCTCTTCCTTCCTTCCTTCCTTCCTTCCTTCCTTCCTTCCTTCCTTCTCTTTTTGAGACAGGTTTCTCTATGTAGTCCTGGCTGGTCACCCTCTCTCTCTTTCCCCTTTTCTTTCTTTTTTGAGACAGGGTCTATCTATGTAGTTCTGGCTGGCCTGGAACTCACTATGTAGACCAAGCTGGTCTTGCTCTTGCGATCTGCCTGCCTCTGTCTCCCCAATACTAGAACTAAAGGTGTATGCCACCACACCTGACCTGGATAGATAATTTTGACAATAAAGAGAAACCATGTTGGCTGGTTTCTTTTAGCTTCTAAATTTTAGAAAGACAGTAACAATGATTTCTGGTAAGCACAGGGATGCCTAAATTCCATCCCCCACTTAGGAATAATATGAAGTGAATGAACCTTTGCATATGAAATTACCATGCAAAATAGGGCCTGACATGAAGAATGCATGTAAGTGTGGACAGTTACTATTTTATTATTGCTGCTCTGTAAGCAAGAGGAGAGGATGTGGGGAGACAGCTGAGGTAGGTTTTTCTGAAAAGTTATTGAAGATTAAGTGCAGAAGCCTCTCACTTCCCTTCCAAAGAGCTATAGCTCCTTTGCACATTCAGAATGCTAAAGAAGACTGCCAAAACTAAATCCATGCCCATAAGACAGCAAGGAGAGCAAGTGTCAGGCTGTCCAAGTCTTTTCCTTACCAAACTGCAAACAGGAGATCTGACTGTCCAGGCTGTGTCCTGGTGGAGGAGGGACATGCAGGTGCTCAGAACACACTGAAGGACAAAGGCCCACACCATGTGGAGATGTCACTTGGAAAGACATAGGGTCTCAGTCACACAATTCAGAGAGGCAGTAGTAGGCAGGCATGCTTGTTACAAGCAGGCCCCATGGTACTCACCTAGGAGAGGTGTCCCATTGGCCATGAGAGTCAACTGGTCAGCAATGGCTTTGGTTCGAGAGTAGTGGTCCATGTGCTGCCAGGGGACAAGGAGAACACAGTCACTAGAACTCAATTATGTTGATGGCAATGCTGGCCCATGGAGGCTTGGTCTACCCCATGGTTGCACAGACTCAGGGAAGCACCTGCCAGTCTGCAACATCTGCCCTGTGACACTGTTGTCAGATATAGGTTGGATGGTCTGGTCATATGTCATCCTTTAGTGCTCCTGTGACATCTTTGCACATAATCTCATTTCCTGCTCTCTACAAATCCCCTCCATGGTGTTATCAGGCTTAGATGAAGAAACAGAGGTTCAGAGTACATGATAATTTGAACTGCCCCAGAGGCGAAAGGTGCCAGACTGGGTGGGACCCAGTGCCAGGTCTATTTGATTTTGAACCCTCCTCAGGCAAGACAAGCTGAACAGGAGACAGTTTGTACCACTCAGCTTGGGAGTCCATCCTACTGGGATGCACCCTGAGTTATAAGACCTGGCTCCATCCATACCTGCTTTTGGGAAGTAACTTTCAAACCTACTACCCTGCCCATCTCCCAGAAGTTGGTACCTTGTCCAGGGGGAAGTATGGGACAGAATCCTCATCACCCTGCTCTATAGGCTTCCCACCAAATGTCACGTTGACCGTGCTGGTGTACACAAGCCTTGGAACACGCCGACGGACACAGACTGCAGGAGACACATATATACCATAGCTTATTGTGAGCAAGCAGCTGGCTAAGAAGGGGCTCAGAAAAGACCTCTGTGGGCAAATCCACCCATTTCTACCCAGCCTTAACGTCCCGCCCCACACCATCAGGGATCTCCCAGAATCCAGAGCTTCCAGGGAGGGAAAAGCCTCCCACCTCAACTTGGGATGTGGGGGCCAGGGCTTCCCATTACTCCTTCTGGTGTGCCTTTGGCCCCCTAGCCATTCTGTCAGGGGCAGGTAAGAAGAAGAGGCTCACTTGGTGGGACAGATAGAAAAGATGCTCTAGAATTGGAGAGAGTCCAGGTCAAGGTTGGACACATCTGGAGGGCCCAACAGGAATCTTCTATCTGATCTTTCCGTGACCTTCCTCAGGCCTTCCTCAACCCCTAGACATGCTAAGGCTGCTGATGCCCCCTACAGGGCCCTGAGTAGGTCTACACAGGGAAGATATTCTACCTCCCACTGGCTTCAGTTGGTACCGTCTAGGTAGGGCAGGGGGGTCCTGCCTCTGTTGCTCCCACTCCCAACCCCCACCCCGGAGCCAGGCCAGTGGCAGGAGAAAGAGGAGGAGGGATCACACTGCACGCCACACTCCACTCAAAGGGCCTACCATTAATCACTAGCCTGGTGCCTCCGACATTTATAGACTCAATCTGCTGTTTCTGTAGCTAAAAGGTAAGAGGGAAACAGGAAGTCACATGCTGCCTTCAATCTTGTGGCTGAGACCATAGGCTGGGCTCAGGATCAGCAGGATTCTCACTGAAGGATATCGGAGCAGGGAGCAGGGGCTGACATAAAGTTTGGCATGGATAAGTGACTTCTAACAGGTTGGATCATTTTCTTCCTTACCAAGTCTCCTCTTACCTGAGACAAATGTGATATGACCATGCCCCAGAGAGGGCACTGGAGTATAAACAAGGAATGGGTTTGCAATGATAGGTTCTGGCATGCCAGGCACCCAGCAAACAGTACAATCCAGACCCCATTTGACACCAATGGGAAATGTGATGCTCTATATTTTCAAACTATATTTATTTTTCTTTGAGACAGTGTATCTCATGTCACCTAGGCTGGCCTCAGAGAAGCTAGTAGACAAGGATAAACTTGAATTTTCTGATCCTCCTCCTTCCACCTCCCAAGTGCTGGTATTACAGGTATGTGCTACTATATCTGGTTTATTGGTGTTGCTGGAGATCCAACCCAGGGTGCATGCTGAGCAAGTATTTTACTCACTGGGTCACATTCCCAGCCAAAACTATATTCTTACCGTGGTATTTTTTGTTTAATGGAGAAACAGCTACAAGGTTAAAAATAGTCCAAACAGTAAAAGTATGCTCAGGGGCTGCAGAGATGGCCCAGTGTACAAGAGTACTAGCTGCTCTCCCAGAGGTCCTGTGTTCTGTTCCAAGCACCCACATGGCAGCTCACAACTGTCTGTAAACCTAGTTCCAGGGGATCTGATGTCCTCTGCTGACTTCCTCAGGCACCAGGCACACATGTGATGTGCAGACATACATGCAGACATACATGAAGGCAAAACACCAACATAAAAAAAGCTATCTAATCAAGAGGAAAATTCTTCCACATTCCAGATTTGAAGTCTTCCTCTGCCTTCTCCAGAGGGAACTGCTGTTAATGGTTTTGTACATTTGTATGGATCTAGGGGTCAAACTGAGGTCATCAAGCTTGGCAGTAGGCACTTTATTTTATTTTATTTTTTTTTGAGACGGGGTGGGGTGGGGTAAAGTCTCTCTATGTAGCCCTAGCTGTCCTAGAACTTGCTATGTAGACCAGGCTGACGTCAAACTCACAGTGATCTTCTTGCCTCTGCCTCCTGAGTACTGAGATTAAAGGCAGTTGGTTGAGTTATCTTGCTGGCTCTTAGCTTTTCTTTTTTAAGGCAAATAGGGGATACCAAACACTATTTTGAACTTTGGAGATTGCCAGGTTATCAACACTTTTGAGTCTTCTCATTCTTTTGAATGGTTGCATAGAATTTCATGCTATACCTGCTCTAACTTACTTCGATAACTAATGGACCACTGCATTATTTCTGGTGTTTCACTATTAAGAACAGTGCTGTGAATATGTAAATAAGTATAATTTGAGTCAAATGGAATATGTTTTTGTAGACATTGCTACAGTGTTCCCTAAAGAGTTTGTGACATAAATAGCAGTAACATCCTTCTGTGTGTGGGAGTCTCACCTTCTCAGCCCCAGACATGCCATAGGAGGCCGCGTGAAAGACACAGTCCACCCCCTGGAAGGCTTGGTACAGGGCTTCCTCATCTCGGACATCAGCCTGAAACAGAAGTGAGAAGTTCAAGTCCAAGGCAGGATTTACCAGATCCACAGAGCATCACAGGTGCTGCCCCATTTGTTCTGCTTTGGGTCCAGAGGGTTCCATATGCACAATCTTAACTGACTCCCTATGAGCCTCTTGTAAAACACATGCGGTTACGGTTTCTTTTCTGTGGATAAAGACTTGGGCTCAAGGAGGTGCGACTATAGCTGGAAAGGGTAAGAGTTGGAGCGGAGGATGGCTAGATGGCTAAGGGACAAGTGTTTTGCATGCAGGCTGGAAGACCAAGAGATTGACTTCTGGAAATTCACAGGGAGCTGGATGAGGTGACTTGCATCTACAATCCCAACACTCCTGTGGTGAGAAGGGAGGTGGAGACAAGAAAAGGGCCTAGAAGCTCTTAGGCTAGCCAGATGAGAGTGGGTAGGACAGAAGCCAAAACAAGAGAGGCCAGCCTCATCATGGGAGAGGGAGAGAACCAACCCTGGAAAGTTTTCCTCTGGCAAATGTATGACTGCTCTCCTCTCTCTCTCTCTCTCTCTCTCTCTCTCTCTCTCTCTCTCTCTCTCTCACACACACACACACACACACACACACACACACACACACACA